TATCCATCATTTGTGGGGGTCGCAGTGTTCTGTGGAAGCTAAAGCGATTGAGATTTCTGCAAATCCCATAATCCGTGCTCCATCATCCCCTAAACTGCACCAGAACTTAAAGTGGGTCATGGGGGTTCTGTGTACCAAGTTTGGTCCAGGTCCATCATTCATGGAAGTGGGAGCAAATCAGAAAGCTGCCACATACACACATACAAACATTCATTTTTATTATATACATAGATATTTTATTATGTATATAGATAAGATATCAAATTTAATGTACAGTACCCACATTGACCCATGGATAAACCAATCCAGCTTTTGGGGGTTGATTTTTTTACTAAAATATCTATATTTACACATGACTATAAGTACCAGTAATGAAAAGTAGGGGTAGAAGTCCTTTTCTTCTTCTGCTATTCGTCAGATGCCAGATGTTCTACCTGATAAACCATCTCATCAGACACTGGTCATTATCTTAATAATCCTCACATAATCTTAGGAATCATACAATTGGAAGAGACCACATGGTACATCTTGTCAATTTTCTGCTTTAAAGATGTTTGCAGAGTTCTCCATTACACTAATACCAGTTTACATCTTCCTCTGACAACTAAGAAAAACATGGTTTCATGGTCCACCTGGGCTCTAATTCACTTTGTTTTAACGGGCTTGGGACTGATACCAGCTTTGTTTCAATTGTTTCTGTTGCAACTGTTGCTGAGTCTGAAGACATCTTTTGGGTGCTTCCCTCCTTTCCCCTACGACTTTGATTATTTTACATATAGACAATTCACTTGTGTGGGATGCCATGCCTATTGCGTGCAGCGAAGCAGTTCATTATTACTCCTTTTTCCCTCGGAGGTAAATGAGCTGCCTGCAGTACTAGATGGAAATGCTGAGCAAGTTTAAATGGTTGGGTAAAGTTAATGGGATTTTCTCCTCCTGTGCACAATAGCAATGTTTGTTAACTCCTTACAAACAAAAGAGATTCTTTTCCATTTATTATTTCATGCCTAATTTTCAGCAACAGATACCGTACAAAACCCTGTACCTGGTTGATACTTTTTTTTTCATGTCAGGAGCTACTTGGCAAACTGCAAGTCGCTTCTGGTGTGAGAGAATTGGCCGTCTGCAAAGACGTTGCCCAGGAGATGGCCGGATGTTTTGATGGTTTACCATCCTTGTGGGAGGCTTCTCTCATGTCCCCTTCTCTCATGTCCCCCCAGTTGGCTTGCTGTGTGGAGAGGGGAGGGACCCTTTCTCGCCAGGACCCTCACTTGAATATAAGCTGAGGTGGGGCTTTTTCAGCCTAGAAAGGGGGCTTAAAAACTAGGGTTATTCTCAAGTATATACAGGAATTGCCTCAACAAACAAGCTGTGGCTGCTATAATAATAATAATAATAATAATAATAATAATAATAATAATAATAATAATAATAATAGTTCCTTGAAAAGATTGAAGGAAAAGTTGACAAGGAGAAGACCTGGTGATGGCTCATGAATGGAACCCTGAAGAAGGAGACAGAAGAAGGCCTGATTCTTGCAGCCCAGGAGCAAGCCATCAGAACAAAGGCCATTAAGGCTAGGATTGAAAAATCAGCAGATGACCCAAAATGCAGACTGTGCAAGGAAGCGGATGAAACCATGGATCATATCCTCAGCTGTTGCAAGAAAATCGCACAGACGGACTACAAACAAAGACACAACTCTGTGGCCCAGATGATTCACTGGAACTTACGTCACAAGTACCACCTGCCATTAGTAAAGAATTGGTGGGATCACAAACCCGCAAAGGTTGTGAAAAATGAACATGCAAAAATACTGTGGGACTTTCGAATCCAGACTGACAAAGTTTTGGAACACAATACACCAGACATCATGATTGTGGAAAAGAAAAAAGTCTGGATTACTGATGTCGCCATTCCAGGAAAAACAACAGGAAAAACTTAGCCGCTATCAAGACCTCAAAATCAAACGGCAAAGGCTCTGGCATCAACCAGTCCAGGTGGCCCCAGTGGTCACTGGTGCACTGGGTGCCGTGGTACACAGAAATCAAAAGGAGCAACCGCTCTCAAATGTAACAGTTCTGGGTCTGGATAGGGATTCCACTGTATATAGGCTTCAGGGATACATTCAATGAGAAAAGTCATATAAACAAAGTAAGCATTGAGTCATGAGGCTATATGTAAACTGAAGACAATAATGGGGATGATGCATCACTCTCAAAACAATCTTCATGGAAAAGATCCAACTCAAGTCCAGTGAAAAATGGAGCACTGCTTCTCAAAATAAGTCTTCAAAGGAAAGTCCCAATGGCATTCAACAGGGGTGCCCGGGTATTTTTGTACCCTTTTCGTGGAAAGCAGTCCCCTTCCTCAGGAGTTGATAAATTCAGCAACTCTAGACTCTTATCTATAACAAAACATAACATCACATAGACAAAATCATGATCTGTCATTTGCAAAAGGCCACCTGACTTGGATCTGCACGTATCATTCGAAAATATATCACACAGTCCTAGACGCTTGGGAAGTGTTTGACTTGTGATTTTGTGATATGAAATCCAGCATAGAGATCTCATTTGCTGTGACCTACTGTGCTTTTGTGCCAATAATAATAATCTTCTATATATATAAAAATGTTCTGTGCATAATGAGTACCCTAAAAACAAAAGAACCAATGAACGAAATCACACCAAATTTGGCAACAAAATGTCTCACAACACAAGGAGTGACCGTCACTCAAAAAATTATGATTTTGTCATTTGGGAGTTGTAGTTGCTGGGATTTATAGTTCATCTACAATCAAAGAGCATCCTGAACCCCTCGAACAATGGAATTGAACCAAACTTGGCACACAGAAATCCCATGACCAACAGAAAATACTGGAGGGGTTTGGTGGGCAGTGTCTTTTGGTTTTGGAGTTGTAGTTCACCTACATCCAGGGATCACTGTGGACTCAAACAGTGATGGATCTGAACCAAACTCTACACAAATACTCAATATGCCGAAATGTGAACATTGGTGGAGCTTGGGGAAAATAGAATCTTGACATTTGGGAGTTGTAGTTGCTGGGATTTATAGTTCACCTACAATCACAGAGGATTCTGAACCCCACTGACAATAGAATTGGGCCAAACCTCCCACACAGAACCCCCATGTGGGCCACAGCAACTCGTGACAGGGGATGGCTAATAATAATAATAATTATTATTTATTTATTTATTTATTTATTTATTTATTTATACCCCGCCACCATCTCCACAAGGGGACTCGGGGTGACTTACATGAGGCCAAGCCCAACAACACATCAATAAAACAACAAAGCAGTAAGCAAATAAAACAATACAGTTAATATAACTCACATATAGGCAATAACACACAAAAAATTTAAAACCTATGCTACGTATGTCACATTAGTTTAAGTAGCATCCTGAAGCATTGGCTGGGTTCCCCCTGCAAGAGTAGAGGCAGTGACACCACTGTAATTTTGGAAAATTTCCTTCAAAGGCATTTATATATGACAGCCATTTCCTTGTTTGCCAACAAGGTGCCTAACTGCGACAACATTCAGTATTCTCTCAGGTGTGTTCTCTTTAAATGTGAGGAATTCACACAATTTTCTTCCGTTATAGATGCCAATAGATGTCTGTTTGTCACAAAGCTCCTAGCTATGAAATAAGCTACTCATCAGGAGTAGATCACTCACCAGACTCTGTTTCTGTGTGGCCTGGATTAGCTAGAAACAACTTGTAAATATGGAACTGCAATCATAAGAAAAATTCACTAGTTGAGGTGAAAGAACAGCTATGACAAGTGGATTCATTAGTAGCAGAAACAAGAAAAGGGAAGAAGTCATACCTAGACATTGAAACAAAGTATAGTTATAGTAATTGCATACTGTGTTATTGTCTCTTGTCTTCTCTGCAAAAGACCGGCAATGGCTTTTCACCAATCTTAGTGATGGGAAATGAGGGGGGACAATGACTTTTCTAGAATCATGGAATCATAGAATCAAAGAGTTGGGAGAGACCTCATGGGCCATCCAGTCCAACCCCATTCTGCCAAGAAGCAGGAATATTGCATTGAAATCACCCCTGACAGATGGCTATCCAGCCTCTGTTTAAAAGCTTCCAAAGAAGAAGCCTCCACCACACTCCAGGGCAGAGAGTTCCACTGCTGAACGGCTCTCACAGTTAGGAAGTTCTTCCTCATGTTCAGATGGAATCTCCTTTCTTGTACTTTGAAGCCATTGTTTCATGTCCTAGTCTCCAGGGAAGCAGAAAACAAGCTTGCTCCCTCCTCCCTGTGGCTTCCTCTCACATATTTATACATGGCTATCTCCTCTCAGCCTTTTCTTCTTCAGGCTAAACATGCTCAGCTCCTTAAGCTGCTCCTCATAGGGCTTGTTCTCCAGACCCTTGATCATTTTTGTCACCCTCCTCTGAACACATTCCAGCTTGTCAATATCTCCCTTGAATTCTGGTGTCCAGAATTGGACACAATATTCCAGGTGTGGTCTAACCAAAGCAGAATAGAGGGGTAGCATGACTTCCCTAGATCTAGACACTAGGCTCCTATTGATGCAGGCCAAAATCCCAGTGGCTTTTTTTGCCGCCACATCACATTGTTGGCTCATGTTTAACTTGTTGTCCACGAGGACTCCAAGATCTTTTCCACACGTACTGCTCTCTAGCCAGGCATTGTCCCCCATTCTGTCTCTTTGCATTTTGTTTTTTCTGCCTAAGTGGAGTCTCTTGCATTTGTCCCTGTTGAACTTCAATTTGTTAGTTTTGGCCCATCTCTCTAATCTGTCAAGATCATTTTGAATCCTGCTCCTGACAGATTTGAGAGATGGGCCTTTAAGAAGTATACAATTACATAACACTATATATTTGCAAAATCATATAGAGAATTTAAGGCAGTGCTTAACATCAGTATTGTTGAGATGAACTATTCTTCTTTACTTTTTCATCCTATTTTCATACCTTCTTGTTTTTGCTTAGGTGTCCTTCATACAGAACCTTGTATTTTGTGTTGAAAGAGCTTATCGGGTGCCAGATTTTGGTGTGTGGGAAAGAGGAAGCAAATACAACAATGGAAGCACTGAACTGCATTCCAGGTAAGTCTGGTGGGCTGCCTGTGTTTCTAGTCCCTGTCATGACTTGAAATTGTGCATCCACAGGTGCCCCCATGTTTACATCTTTTTTTCTAAACCTACACTATTTTAAGGGCATTATAAAGACATTTCCATACTGCCTTTGAGCACCTCCTCAATATTTATTTAGTTATTTATTTATCACATATAATAAGACCTCAAAGTCAATCTACAAAGGCTCTGGCATAAACCAGTACAGGTGGTCCCAGTGGTCATCGGCACACTGGGTGCCGTGCCAAAAGATCTCAGTTGGCATTTGGAAACAATAAACACTGACAAAATCACAAACTGTCAACTGCAAAAGGACACCTGACTTGGACACCTGACTTCGAAAATACATATCACAGTCCTAGACGCTTGGGAAGTGTTTGACTTGTGATTTTATGATACGAAATCCAGCATAGAGATCTCGTTTGCTGTGTCATACTGTGTTTTTATGTCAGTATTTATTTTATTTATCGTGTCAGGAGCAAGCCAAACAGTTGTATTGCATTTTTTAACAAACAAACAAACAAAACACAAAGTTTGCAAGCTTGGTAGTTGATGAAATGTCCTTTGACCAGTAGCTGGCCACTTGGAGTGCCTCTGGTGTTGCTCTAAGAAGGTCCTCCCGTGTGCATGTAGCAGGGCACAAGTTGCATTGCAGCAGGTGGTCAGTGGTTTGCTCTTCTCCACACTCGCATGTCGTGGATTCCACTTTGTGGCCCCATTACTTAAGGTTGGCTCTGCATCTCGTGGTGCCAGAGCGCAGTCTGTTCAGTGCCTTCCAAGTCACCCAGTCTTCTGTGTGCCCAGGGGGGAGTCTCTCATTTGGTATCAGCCATTGATTGAGGTTCTGGGTTTGAGCCTGCCACTTTTGGACTCTTGCTTGCTGAGGTGTTCCACCAAGTGTCTCTGTGTCATATGTTCTGCAGTTGATGGTGCTTAGTGATGGAAGGGTTAATGTAAAGGGTCAAGTTCATGGGTGAAAGCAATTAAGGGTGGAGGTATGCAAGAGATGGGTTGCAGCTGGGTGTTTCTGGATATAAGGAGCTAGTCTTGGTGCTGATGTTTGGGAGAAAAGTATCTCTTGTATTTTGGTGGTGGAATGCTGCTGGTTTTCCCCCCAGGTCTGTTGGATTTTCGGTGTCCTGACCTGTCTTCTGTAATCTTGGAACCCTGGAACTTTGAACCTTTGGATTTGCTTTTGACTACAGTATGGGCTCTTGATCCCTTGACTCTGTTTTTGAACTTTCGGCATTTGACCATTGGACTGGACCCTTTTGACTACGAAGTTATTTTTGCTATCAGTTTTTGTTTATTCTGTGGCTGCGTGCTATCTTTATGTTTTATGTTTTGGTCTATTAAAATAGCCAGCAAGTAAGTGCTGTTTTAATTAAAACTGTTTGTTTAAACTGGGAGTTTTGATTCATCTCTACCTAAACAAGGTAGAGTCCTAGCAATGTGACACTCTTTAGATCTTAGAAAACTATGTCAGTAAAATAATAATAATTGTTATTATTATATTTTTCAAAATTTTAGTTTCTCTGGTGCACATTAAACAGCCATAGGCTGTTGTTTATGTGTTGGTAGTATCCAAAGCACTTTAGGGTACAGGTAGTCCATTGTGTTTCTGGTCAATCTGGAGCTAGTGCTTGGCAAGCTAAGTGTGTACTGGTGCTTTTAAAATGTTATATATTTAATGTGAGCTGAACCAAAGTTTACATGATTGTACAGAAAATGTACTCAAGTTGATTATATAAACCACATTGCATAGTGTTATTAGTGCATATTAATAGTGTACAATTGCATGGTTACATTCATTTCCAGGCTTAATCCAATTTGAGTTCATAATTCTTCCTGGTAAAAAATAAGGTTGAGCTCGGTCTTGTGCAGAGCGTATCTTCCCTTGTTAATAATCACTCCACACACTGAAAGATAGCGCCTTTCCACTCAATCTATTACACTTTCCTAGCAATGATAAGCTTCAGTATCAAGTTAGTGACCCCCATCGTTATAAATATAACTCTGACCATACTCCTTAATTCCAGAAATGTTCAAACAAGTCGGGTTTATAGTTCTGCCGCTGAATCATTGCAGACTCCAGGGTACTTTAAGACTCCCGTGATGTGTCTTTTAGAATACCAATATTCTTTGTAACTGTTCTCTTTTTTTATTACTCATACACTTTTGAAATGAAATCCTGAAATTATATGTTACTTCTGTTTGTGCTCCATTAGCAGCGAAGTCTGTAGAACTGTGGCCTTTCCGATGACAACACTAATAATTTCCCAGGGAAAATAGCTTGCAAATACCACGGGCTAAAAGAGAAGTCCCGATGACAGTTCTTACATACATAAAATTTGCTGTTTTGGCTCAGTGCGTTTATTTCAGGAGGCCGTAACATTAAAGGAAGCAGGTGGACACTTGTGTCTGCGATTTTATATATTGGTAACCTCTACCTGCAATAAAAATCAGACGCTTGCATTAATTTCAGATGTTTCTTTTCATTCCTTTACTGCACAGTAAAGTTATATTAGTAAGTTTGGAGAAATATTTCAATGGATTGTCGAAGGCTTTCATGGCTGGAATCACTGGGTTGTTGTAGGTTTTTTTTCGGGCTATATGGCCATGTTCTAGAGGCATGCTCTCCTGACTTTTTGCCTGCATCTATGGCAGGCATGCTCAGAGGTAGTGAGTATTGGAACTAGTAAAATGGGTTTATATATCTGTGGAAATCAGGGTGGGACAAGGAACTCTTGTCTGCTGGAGCTAGGTGTGAATATTTCAACTGACCACCTTGATTAGCATTTGATAGCCTGGCAATGCCTGGAGCAATCTCTTGTTGAGAGGTGATTAGATGTCCTTGTTTGTTTCCTCTCTGTCATTTTGCTGTTTTAATTTTAGAGTTTTTTTAATACTGGTAGCCAGATTTTGTTCATTTTCATGGTTTCTTCCTTTCAGGTGAAATTGTCCACATGCTTGTGGATTTCAATGGCTTCTCTGTGTAGTCTGACATGGTGGTTGTGAGAGTGGTCCAGCACTTCTGTGTTCTCCAATAATATGCTGTGTCCAGGTTGGTTCATCAGGTGCTCTGCTATGGCTGACTTCTCTGGTTGAAGTAGTCTGCAGTGCCTTTCATGTTCCTTGATGCGTGTTTGGGCCACACAGCGTTTGGTGGTCCCTCTGTAGACTTGTCCACAGCTGCATGGTATATGGTAGACTCCTGCAGAGGTGAGAGGATCCCTCTTGTCCTTTGCTGAACGTAGCATTTGTTGGATTTTCTTGGTGGGTCTGTAGATAGTTTGTATGTTGTGTTTCCTCATCAGCTTCCCAATGCGGTCAGTGGTTTCCTTGATGTATGGCAAGAACCTTTTTCCTCTGGGTGGATCTTCATCTTGACTCTCGTGGCTTGTTCTCGGTCTTGCAGCTCTTCTGACGTCTGAGGTGGAGTCTCCATTGGCCTGTAGAACCCAGTTTATTTCAATAGACCTTGAACTATGTGTGTGTGTGTGTGTGTGTGCATATCTATATAAATAAAAAGGTAATGTTCGTTTGTGAGATTAACATAACTCAAAAACCACACCAAATTTGGACACAAGACACCTATTAGGCCAACAAGTGACCATCACTCATAAAAACAATGAAAAACACAGCGGAATGGACTTAAAAAGCCAAGAAACAAAAATATATAATTACATCGCATGCACAAAACCACAAATACACACACACACACAAATATAATAATAATATAATATATTGTATATTTTATTTATTTATTTATTTATTTATTTAAAACATTTATATTCCGCCCTTCTCACCCTGAAGGGTACTCAGGGCGGAGCACAGCATATATATAGCAAACATTCGATTCCGAGACACAAATTCTTATATACATACATAAACATTAAAAACATTTATCAAAATATTAAAATACACCATTTAAAACCGTCCTAGTCATCCACATCAAGTCTAATTGGCCTAGTAATCTTTCCTATTGCTGCTTTATTGCCCTGTCCCAAAAGCTTGGTCCCACAGCCATGTTTTGACCATCCTTCTGAAGGACAGGAGGGAGGGAGCCGACCTGATCTCACCAGGAAGGGAGTTCCATAGCCGGGAAGCAATCACCGAGAAGGCCCTGTCTCTCGTCCCCACCAATTGTGCCTGTGACAATGGTGGGATGGAAAGCAGGGCCTTCCCGGAGGATCTTAATCTTTTCGATGGTTCATAGGGGGAGATGTGTTCGGACAGGTAATACATATAATATTTATAATATTATAATGTAATACAATATAATACAACTAATAATACAATATTATAATTATATATTTTATATTACATGTAAAATTACTAATATCTGTCCGAACGGATCTCCCTTTACGTCCCACCCCGGAGTCTAAGATCTTCTGGGGAGGCCCTGCTCTCGACCCCATCTCTATCACAAGTGAGGTTGGCGGGGACGAGGAGCAGGGCCTTCTCGGTGGTGGCCCCCCACCTGTGGAATTCGCTCCCCGGGGAAATTAGATCAGAAATTAGATCAACTCCTTTCCTTCAGGAAAAAACTGAAAACATGGATTTGGGACCAGGCATTCGGACAATCGTTCAGATAAAGAAAGGACTTTGAGAATGGCCAGGAAATGACTAATGGAATGGAATTTGGAACTCTGAAAGACAAACGCTGAGCATGTGAATAGTTTTTATATGATGTGATGTATATTAATTGTTATGATTGTTTTAACTGTGATAATTGTTTTAACTATGGTTTTGTACACTATGTATAATTTTTGTATAGGCATTGAATTGTGCCTTTTGTAAGCCGCCCTGAGTCCCCCCTCGGGGATTGAGAAGGGCGGGGTAAAAGTACAGTATAGTATATAATGGTATAGTACAATATAGCAATATATAATACTGATATTGTACTGTGCTAATAATATAAAATATAGTGTGTATGTGTGTATATATATCTTGTAAGCCGTAGTGAGCCC